ATGTGCACAAAACATAAATAAGACACATGTGCTATTTTCACGCTTCACACCAAGGGGTGACAAACGGCTGGTGGAACAGCACCGCTGCGCACTTCAGGTGCAACTCAGCACAGCCAGGTGAGATGACCACTACTGTCACCCCTCTGTGTGAAGCGTGAAAATAGAACAATATTACATGATAGTTTCTTAAATAACTTTTTCCGTGATCAATCACAAAACGTCAAATTTCAGATCCTGTTGGGTACAGAGGTTTCAGGACCATGTGTCTTATTTATGTTTTGTGCACTTTTCCCTATTTCGAGTTATTTAATCATTCATCGTTCTCATTTGAACCCAAACAGACTGTACATGATGATAATGAAACAAAAGTGTAGAAACAAAGTAAATGCCACCAGTGGAATTATTTAGATTTGACTGTGATATGCATATGATGTCTTCTGATTCAACTTTCAAACACTGCTGATTAATACATGATGAATCATTTAACAGTCACATATAAGCTACCTTGACTATTAATCTACTGAGTTTCGTATTCATTTGTACTTCCTTTTTTTCTTGTCAAGTTCCTAAATGTCTTTAGAGAGGAAACTGTCCAACAGCTCATTAAATCTCTGGAAGTACAAAAAGTATCCAGGTCAGATGTAGATTACTGGACATTTTGTGAACATCATTAAGATCCTGATTGTTGTAGACATTAACGCCACTTTCAACAGTATTTCACCATTAATCACAACATGTTAGCTTAATGGAGGATGACAGACTGAAGTAGGTCAGAGGCTTACTAACTTGGTGAAACTCACAAGTCTGATTGTGGTGGTGATACAAGTTTCTTAACCATGGATCTGAACCCAAGACCAAGGGACTCTAGCTGCACCATACACCACTGGGCCCCTTGTGACAGGACTTACGGATTTCCATCTATTATCTTTCTGCTGCCTAAGCATTGCAGCATCTGAATGAAAAACAGTCTATTCTGATTTGTAATGTAATACGTGATCTGTGCTAACAGAATGATCTCGTGACCAAAACATGAATGGTATCTTTTGAATGAAATAAGGGGAAATTACATGTCCATCACTAGGAAGAACTGTCGGTCACAGTCTGATCAGCTCCATAGGTCCTGATCACGATTTGTATACAGAGGAAACTGGAGCGTTCACAATATCACAAAGTTCATTCAGTTATCTGGGAGAAATCCATTGAAGGTAAAGCTGGGTGGAGACACAACCACGGCAATGAATACATTAACTCCATCAGTCTCCCTTCCTGTCACCAGGTTTCCATGTATTATTTAAACATCCAGTCTTGTGACATCCTCCACAAATATTGGACATTTTCATAAATCACAACAAAGTAATTCATGTTTTCTGTTTTGTGTTGCTTCATGAAAAGATGCACAATGAAAGTTGAATTTTATGGAATTCTCTACGGATTACTAAAAATTATTTACTCTTCAAAGTATACACATTCACCTCATATTTCCTGAGCTAAAGTCTCACAACTACACTTCTGTTCTAGATAATAACTTAAAGGTATGCAAAATTATGGAGCATGAACCATTATTAAAAAAGCCATATTAGATAACAGGTCTAAATCGTCTTAGTCTTGTCCTACTTGAATGCAAGTAGATGAAACTTTCAAATAATATGTCTGTTTCCTGTGTGGTCAATCCAGTCTCTCTGCAGGTGAGTGTAAGTGTTTTTCTTCATTTATGGGTGACATTCCTGTTGTGAGATAACTGGTAAGGCCCAACAAGACCAATTTCAATCTACTCTTAGTCCTTTTCCTATGATGACCACTTGTGTCAAGATGCAGGGCGGTTTTGGTCACACTCCGGCACAGCGATGACTGACATAACATCACTGCCACAGGCTAATTTGCATATCACGTGACCACACTTTTCTCTTGTTTGTAAACAAACGCGCATATTCATAATAAGAAGAGACTGGACTCACGAAAGCTTTTCGGCGCTCTCTTCATAACGTTTTACATTGTTACGTATATATTCTTCCACAACTGCGACAGTAAGGTCTATGACAGTACATATTTAGATATCAAACTGGCTGCATCGTTTGCTCTCCATCAGCTTTGATGACAGCACGTGGAGCCGTACAACCTATGTAAACAAAGGATCGCTATGCAAATCGAAATAGTGTTACACGTTTTTGGATATTTTCTCAGTGAAACTAAACCATTCTATTAAAGATGATTAGTTAGATGTGTAGACTCGTTAAAAATAAAAGAGCTAAGAAATCTGTACATTATATTGAATGGATGGTGCAAGATGTGACGAATCGTCACATTTTTCTAGCCTGTGGCAGAGGTACTATGCTGGCTTGCCGCATGGAACTCTGGGTAGGAGAGTGGGTTTTGGTATGAAATGGACCAGTAACAATTTCCTAAAGGTAGTCCTTAATGCTTGTTCAGAAGTAAATCACTTAACTGAGTGTATCAGTGACTCGTGATACAATATACATATATATATTGTCCAGGACAGAAGCAACTTACAGCTTCTTCCGTTCTCATGTGTGAGTGAGCCACTAGGAGGAGTCTTTCAGTTACATCAGAGCATGCCAGCTTGATGCTGGAGGACTAAGCCCTCAGTCATGCTGAGTTTCTATATTAAACACTTTGGCAAAACCATGACCATGGGTGTGGTGTAGACAAATCTGTAGAGACAGAATCATTGCTCAACTGGGTTTTAAACCCATGATCATAGATTTCTGGGCCACACAAGCGATTTCAGTTCTGCACAGACATTACCACCAATTTAGATTCCCGGGCCACCATTGCATCTTGTCCTTATGACTGAGACAGAGTGTGCATATTTGACCCCCAACATTACCCTTGTAATATCATTTTAAGTACTGGCTGGAGGATTACCGATCCCACTGCTGAACAAGATCTAAACCTGGATAATATGGTAGTTGAGTTGAGGACATAAAACTGTCCCTGTTCAGAAATACCAGACAAACAGATGGGAAGAGAGGAGAAGGGCGTCCTGTTAAACTATCGGGATTATTAACTTGTAGAATACCTTGGCTGTTTGTGTCTCCATGACATGCTTTTAGGTAACATTTGGTGCTTGTGTCAAAATTAAGAGAGAATTCCTTGTGGCATGTCTGTGGCTCTCTGTTTGGTAAGCAACACAAGCCTACAGATCCTGCATCTTCTATGTACTGAGATCCATGTGATGAACACTTGGTGTCTATAGATAGCAGGTAATCCTTTTGCTGACACTCGAGAGCCTTGTTGTAGTGGGTTATTCCAGTGAATGAACAAACTAATGGCAGGGGAACAATAGATTTATTCCATTCTTACAACCTGAGTCAATTCATGTAACCACCCTAAGAGTCGATATGATGCCACAGTAAACTTGAAATATTGGAGGGTCACAAATTCCGTGTTAAAATCTATCTGAATTATACAACTACATCATATGTCTGTTGGGGTGTAAGAGTGAATGTACATAAAATCAAACAGAAATTATGCTACCTAGCAACAATACAACATTAGACCCTGCATTTAGTGTATGTAACAAGACACAATAAATTATTTTTAAAGATATTATTTACCATACCTGATTATTAACATGCAAGTATAATCTTTGCGAGAAAATAATGCCATACAAACATAACTGACACTCTAGAATACTGCAATACAAGTTAAATTTACACACTAGAATACATTTAAGCAAGTTAAATTTACACATTAGAATACTGCCTCACAAGTTTAATTTACACACTAGAATACTACACTGCAAATTAAGTTTACTCACTAGAATACTGCCATACAAGTTAAATTATGGTAAGACTAGTAAACTTACATACCAGAATAGAGCCAGACTAGTAAACACCATAAACCAGCCTATAGTCAGACTAGTAAACCTTACATACCACATTAGAGCCAGATATCTAGTAAGCTTAACATTCCAGAAGAGCGCCAGATTAATAAACTTTACATACCACATTAGAGCTAGATATCTAGTAAGCTTAACATTCCAGAAGAGCACCAGACTAATAAACTTTACATACCACATTAGAGCCAGATATCTAGTAAGCTTAACATTCCAGAAGAGCACCAGACTAATAAACTTTACATACCACATTAGGGCCAGATATCTAGTAAGCTTAACATTCCAGAAGAGCGCCAGATTAGTAAACTTTACATACCACATTAGAGCCAGATATCTAGTAAGCTTAACATTCCAGAAGAATGCCAGATTAATAAACTTTATATACATTAGAGCCAGATATCTAGTAAGCTTAACATTCCAGAAGAATGCCAGACTAGTAAACTTTACATACATTAGAGCCAGATATCTAGTAAGCCTAACATTCCTAAAGAGCGCCAGACTAGTAAACTTTACATACCAAATTAGAGCCAGATATCTAGTAAGCTTAGCATTCCAGAAGAGCGCCAGACTAGTAAACTTTACATACCACATTAGAGCCAGATATCTAGTAAGCTTAACATTCCCAAAGAACACCAGACTAGTAAACTTTATATACCAGCTTAGACTAGTAAACTTAAAATGTCAGAATACTGCTCAACTAGTAAACTTTACAACCCAGAATAACACCATTTTGTCAAGTATACATAACCTGTCTGAATAGGATCATACTAGTAACTTGCTAACGCAGCTTAAATGATGTGTCTGAAATATACCAGGATTATTACAGTAGACTGATACTTGACGACATTAAAGTAAGTGTATAAGAAGGTATTGAAAATCTCTCAGCACATCGGTTGTCAAGGAAACAAAAGCAAGACAAGATCGTGAGAGAGAAAGGCACTGTGAAGCACACATATATATACGTAGTTATTGAAAGGTTGTCCTGGAAACACTAACTAGTCGATGTTACTGAAACCCCAAATCTATTAACAATTAATGTTACTTTAGTAATAGGAGAAGTGTATTAAAAATGTATGCCAAGCATGAAGCCAAAATGCTAAATACTTTGGTGTTATTTTGTTATGATGTAAAAACTTAAACTTACCAGTGTGTCAGTATCTCTGTTTAGGAGGGACTTTCTCAAACTGACCAAATCCTCAAAGATGGATGCAAGACTGGTACGAGACCTGCGCCGGTCAAAGTCAGTGTCTGGTTTCAACATGACAAACTGGGTCTGAGTTTTACACAGAGAAATAATCAGGCGGACCAAGCAAGTGAACACCCTGAGAATGCTGTTCAACACCATGAACACTGTTCCTAGTAGCGATCCTGCATTCGCTCATCACTCTGTTGTCCATGTAGTATGGTATATCCTAACATCAACAGAGCACTCAAATTTCTTCTCACACCAACTCCATGAAACAAAATCACACCGCATTCAGTTTTTAGGGATCCCAATTCAAATCCCATTGAACTGAAAATAGAAACTGTGTAAATCTCCTCAAAGACAATGTAGGTTGGTGGGTTAAGATGCTCATACCAGATACCCTGAGTTTAATTAACCCTGTGTGGGTTCTCCTTAACCCTCTTGCTGGCTCGATATTAGTACTTCTTCCTGTCAGATGCAATGTGGCATGCTTGAAGAACAGGCCACGTTTCCATGGTATCTTCAGCGTCTACATCCAACAGAAACTCTTCAAAAAATTAAATTTGAGCCGTTAGAGTCCAGGGAGTTTTGTTCCTCTGTCTGTTGGATGGTGATGGTGGTGGAAGGGGTGCTTAGAACGACTCTCATGTCCCGGTGGAAAACTCCACTTAGTGCATTTGATCAATACCCTCTGCACATCCATTAGTTACTTGCTATAGCTTGCTGGATTGGCTGTGTGAGTGTGTCCTCTTACTGCGTCTCCCAGCTGATAAAACGGACCTCACCTGACCAGGCATAACATCACATGAACATCAACGTCGCACATGCACGCAACTTGTAACCTCTGAAACTGAGCCTCGCCAGATTGGACAATTTCCTGGAAGCAGTCCTCTACTCCTCGAAAGCAACCACCCCCAGAAACTTAACACTAGTGACAGGAGAAATCCAATAAGGTTCCATCTTCTGGGGTAGATGGTGCAAATGACTGTGACAAGATTGTAACCTCCAGCCACCCTATGGCTGCTGGAAGACACACAGCCCTGTTCTCCTGTCATAAGACACCAACACATCTAATTGATTTCATAGTTGACTTGTGTGTATCCGTCTGGAAATAATCTGATTGTGTAGTTTCCTCAGAGAAAACAGCAATTAGCAGCACTGCAGCCTATAGAACATGTCACCAGCAGGCCATACAGCTAGAGCTGGCATTGTCCTTACCTACCATAGGTAGCAGCCGAGAGGAGCCACACATCCACAGGAATGTATCTAAGCACTGACGTGGTAGGTGTAGAGTGAATGGCAATGTGAGAGCTGTACGGTGTGTTAGCTGATACACGTCTATGCACAATGAACACACAATAAAAACTAGCAGTGATGGGTTATAGGGCGTGCATGTTACACTTAACTTCATCACATATTAAAGGCTTAGTGCTCATCCTAAACATACCGGGATGTGTTTTCGTACAGTGTCAGACTGCATATAGGACATAATTATGTGTATATCATATGTATTAGGTTCTGAGCTGATACAGGTAATGATAAAATGTTTCATGAAATGCTATGACTCATGTACTTAATTTATTAAAGATGTTGTTATATCTTCAGTGTGAAATAGAAGTAGGATTAACTGAAAATAGTTCAAAGCCTCTGGCAAATGATTTCACTGGGAATATATCCGTCTTGATGTAACTACCTCCAGTTTTCTTTAAGAAACAACAACATGCTGATGACAGTCTGTCAGTGGTGTGGGTTTAGCAACACATTATCCAGACATGTGGAGCAACTGATTGTGAACCATGCTGTACTGAAAGGATCAATCACTGATGCATGCTGTGGGCCTCATCCACTAGGGACTTGGTGGACACATTAGGGCACCTTTCTCCCTAATTATTTCAACTTGTTAAATCTCAGCAGCAATTCTCTGTTCTCTGACAATAATGAAACTGTATATATGGCCTGTGTTTGAAGTAAGTTTGTTTTTTGGCTGACAAATTATGAAATCATGCTGGTTCTAATTCTCAAATGACCAGTTACTGTCAATAGTCTTTCAAATTTCTCTATGGGGTTTGTTTTTAGTTATTTAAATCTCTTTCATGCACAAAAGCAGAACCTCTTTCTGTGAAGACTCGCATTTCAAGAAATATGCATCAGTATGTGTTCTTGCTTGGAATCACAGCAAGATGATCAATATATAGTCATTACAAGAGCAAGACTGCTTCTTTCCACAACTTCCCTTGTTTATCAATATCAAATGGAACATGATGACACATAAATGCAGCTCAAAACAACATCCACTATCATTATCTGGGACATGATCAATAAGTATATACAGAAAATAATACATGCTTTGAAAATTTAAATAGTCTCTTATTGCCATGACAACTGCTTCTACAATATGCTGATGAGAATGATGTGTGAACCATCAACCAAGAATTACCCAGTTCTTGATGTTAGCTGATTCACACAAAAAATCCATGATAAACTACATAATCAGCACTTTGCAAATCTAATCATATAAAATGGCTTCAGATGCAACTAGCTGGAAATCAATTACACCCTGTCCATTGTTCAAATATGCATACTTTTTTTATGGAAGTGTAAACTTTAGCATGTTAAACTAGGAACAAACCGTTTGACAAGTCAATCAACCCTGGACAACTTGAATTAACGACCAGATCTTAGTGACTCTGCTGTCATAACCACAAAGTCAATTCCTGAGGAAGAAAATCACATGCGCATCAATCACTGCAGCAACCGATAAAAAAATGTTTGAATGATGATTTGGGCATCGGGATACTATTGTGTGAAGCAACAGAGCAGGAAACCAGACTTCTTGGGTATAATAACTCCTAGCCACATCAGTGCAGAGAACAGTCACAGCCACGAATGTCAGACTCAAAACAGTCTGATCAACTAATTCCTTGGAGACTTCAGAACAAAGCTTTGTTCTGGGAGGCTTTCCTTGGGTCCAACTGCCAATAAAGCTTCCTAAAAAGTGCCATGTTATTTCTGTATAGATATGACTGATTACCAAGTCTGGCACATCCTTTTCTGGGACAACAAACAGTAACAGTTGTTGTTTCAGAACTGTAACAGCCTTGACTCCACTGCAAGCAGGTTATGTAAATATCTTGTCTGCATCAATAGTTACTAAGCTCTCAGTATGGTATATGATTTATATGGTGATCCTCAACTGAAACTTTCTGGATTCATTTTGAAAATGACAGACAAAATTTCCGTCTTCAGTTTTGTGAAGAACACTAACATATACATGGGCACTAATGTCTTTGTCGTGTATTCTCTGTGGTGCTAGGCTATCTACACCTTCCACAACAGCATGTCTTTCAGTAGTTTAAACGTTTTCTAAATATGTAATTTTCAGCTCATAACATTGACATCTAGGTATCCACTGACCAGCATGTCAAAAGGAAAGTGTCTTGTGTTTTTTCACAAATATTTTGTCTCAGCAAATGTTCAAAAAAAGAAATAAGCAACAACAAAAAACCAAACAATTGTCTGCCACAAGAAATACATTGTTTTAAGGCATTTTTTTCAAAGATGAAACAATTGGGCTCATACTTTTAATTAAAGAAAAACCTATCTGGTTTACCAACTGCAGCTCAAATCTCCAGTCTCCACACAAATATTCCAACAACTAGTTATCAAACAGACTGAGGATTCAATCAGCTTGAGAGAGATTTAGTGTCGCTAAGGGTTTCTGGATTGTTTTTAAACAAACCCTTATTTTGTTGTGTGGATTACAGGATGGTGCAGGACAGCTGAAAGGTAATACATACAGCCAGATATACTGCTGTACATTAGTAGAGTAGGAACCGGACATGTTGACTTTTGTTGCAGGCAAGAGAACAGATTGTTCAAGAGCACTGCAATTCTGACCATTGTCATTACACTGAAAGTATTAAATGGAATGTAAATTGACTATCTGTATCCATGGCATCTATTATACTTTGGGATGTCACTGTATTCATTTCATCTTGCTCACATGAATGTCTAACTATTGTAAAAAAATGACATGATATATGTCGGGAGATTCCAAGGTATTAGAGATCATATACTAACTCTTTTCAACCAGTGAGAAAGAGAAAGAAAGTTGTACTTCTTTTGTACTGATCAGGGGTAGAATAGGTCTTCAGCAACCCATGCTTGTCACAAAAGGTGACTATGCTTGTCGTAAGTGGCAACTAACGGGATCGGGTGGTCAGGCTTGCTGACTTGGTTGACACATGTCATCAGTTCCCAATTACGCAGATCGATGCTCATGCTGTTGATCACTGGATTGTCTGGTCTAGACTCAATTATTTACAGACTGCCGCCATATAGCTGGAATATTGCTGAGTGCGGCGTAAAACTTTCATGTTCAAATCTGAAAAGGTTAGCAAAACAAATACTAATTGTAACAAGTTGAGGACTCTCACGCACAAAAATAGTAAAGGAAAGAAATGTTAAATGTCCTGATTGTACACTAACAATGCTCGAAAAACATCTTGCCAGAATATCTTCACTGGTTGTCAAATTTAGACGATGATAAAGTTCCCAAGTACCAACTTGACCTGATTGACAATTAGCATGATTTAGAAACTAATTCTGTCTACATTTGGGCACAGGATAAAATTTCATACTTTGGCAATTTAGTTCTTGACGTTGCTTTACTGCATTGTATCTTGTTCTTACAATGTCAGAGGTTGGGGAAAATCAAATTGTCACAAGGCATAGAAATGTTGCCATGTTCCCTGCAAAACCAATGCTTAACCAGATACATCACATCAAGGGCCATAACTCTTATCCTCCACATTGTTTGAAAGTTTGAGGGAAACATTTTCTTTGATTTTCTATTTTGCAAAGAATCCTTTTTTCTCACAAAAGCAAATTTGAGTGTCATTTCATGTTAAGTTATTTTTACATTAAAATATTTACGTTAATATAAAGAGTTGGTAGTTTTAAAAGTCATTGTAATGTTATTTTCATTGCACCATCTTTTATGAAGGTGGTGACCTTTTTAACAAACAACAACAATTAGTGGTCTTTTTCCAACTCCAAATGTTGTACGAATAATGAACAATATGAAAGTTTCCAATGTATTCCAATTGATGCTTCATGTGACAGGAATCAATGCTGGATTCTATAGTTACTTGCTGCAGAGTGGGCAAAAGCACATAATGATCTGTGATTGCATGCAAAAAGTGCTTTAAGCAGGGTCAAGCAGTCCTATCTCAATAGCCTTAACTTTTGAATATGTCTCTGGAGGGTTTTCACTTTGTTGGAGGTCTTATTACACACTGACATTATTCTAAGTCAATCATTGTCCACTGCCGGTGCCCGAACACATTATAATGACAGGGACTGAAAACTGTCACCATTACTCTCCAATTATTCTACTTCCACAGAGTCACTCGAAAAGGGCATTGTACTGAGAAAAACAGACACAAATATGCCATAAAATGCCATAGTTGTGCCAGGTAAAATAGATTGGGAGCTACATAAAGTATCAAAGTGTTCATTATAAACATGTTAGTGTCCCATACTTAGCATGATGATGCTTCATTAGTTTCAAATAGAATTTTATAGAGCTCTGGGGATATTTCAATAGAATGGTGCATGCTTATATGGTAATGTTGGTGATTCTCAACTTGGTTATTTGATATGAGAACAGAAGATAAGAGCTAATTATAATATCACAATCCAAAACCAATTAGGATCAATTATGTCTTAAACAATTACATACAACTAACTCCACATTTGTGCTTTTTGGTGATTTGTGTATTTATATTTTAGGACCTCTTGATTACAAATAATTTGATTCTGCCATAGATGACTAAAAACATAAAAAGTGAGCTACAGAGCCCTTTATGGAACTTTAAAATATGGAAATCCAAGTTAGATATCAAAACTGGGACTGAATATATCATCCATTCTCAGGCAATATGTATTTTGATTTGACCCTATGCTTCATATTTTTTAACACTAAAACTACTTCTAATATTCATGGTTACAAAACAATCAACATGCTATTTAATTAAAGAATGAAATGAATTAGAAAACATAAGATATCAGTAAAGTATATGGGAAAAATCAGTTGTTTCCATAATCCAAATACTTATAATGAATAAAAATATAACAAGCAATCACAGTGTAAGAGATATTAAAGATCATGAATGTTATGGGGTTGAAAATAGATTCATACTCTAGATGCAAGGTGAAATGGGCATAACATGACACTGAAGATTATTGCAATTGTATAGTAATGTGCATGCATGGGTGTGCGG